TTTCCTCAGACCCCTAATCCCTGCCTAGATCTGTTCCACCAATTCTTTAACAAGGTTGTTTAGAAAGTGTGTGGTTTTGTTCAGTGTTTGGGAGGTGCAGGTGGCGGGGATGGAATGGGACTTGGTCCTGGGTACCAAGGACTTGAGTTTTAGCATCTGCCTTCTTCCCTCCCTTTCAGGCCATGAGGGTTCACTTATTCACTTTATGAGTTTTCCAAAAGCAAAAGTAATATGCCCTCAGTTAGAGATGGTCTCACGGGGTTCTATTACATACATCTTTGTTCCCATTTCTTGTGGCACCATTATCAAGAGCTTGGAGTGAAGCCAAAAAAGAGACCATAGAAGATAGTTGTTATGGTCTGAATGTTTGTGTCCCTTCAAAATTTATATGTTGAAACTTAACCCCCATTATGATGGTATTAGGAGGTGGGAGCTTTGGGAAGTGATTAGGTCATGAGGGCAGAGCCCCCATAAATAGGATCAGTGCCCTTATAAGAGGCTACAGAGACGAAAGCTCTTCCTCTCCCCCATGGTAGGACACAGTGAGAAGGCACTGTCTATGAGGATGTAAGCCCTCACCAGACACCAAATCTGCTGGTTCCTTGATCTTGGACCTCTCAAGCTCTAGAACTGCTAGAAATAAATTTCTATTTTTATAAGCTACACAGTCTATGGTATTTTCTTAGAGCAGCCCAACCCAAAAGTATTAAAACAGTGTATTGTGACAGTGAGGTGAAATATATGTATAATCCTTGACCCTGCCGATTTCTGTCAACTTTTTATTTGTGTCAGTTTTTAAAGTTCCTGCAGAATTGGAAGGCTGTCACTCAAAATGGCCCTGCTTACTTACTCTTTGGTCAGTAGAAAATTAAATACAATTGCTTTGCCATGCCTATTAGCTGATGACTGACTTTAAGCCCTGAAAAGTAGCATTGGCTCTGTTGTGGCTCACTCGTTAATTAGCATCAAATTCAGGTTAATTGATATTTTATTTCCAAAGATCTCTCTCTGCCTTTTTAAAACCACCTCTTTCAAGATGGTTTGCAAAAGTGGAATTAAATAATCGAGATGTGGCAAGATAATGTGTATACTCTGACAGGGGCATGAAATTTTCAAAGTGTTAAAAAGCACTGAGCTAGTATAGTTTGCCAGAGCATCTTTGGTTCATGCTAACTTCCAGTCATATAGAATCCAAAAAAGAGAAATATTTAAATCAAGAATGGTACATTTGTTTAATGGAATACTATGTGATTACTTAAAACTACATCACAGAAAAATAGTTAATGGCAAGGAAAGTTATTCATAATATATTAAGTGGGGGAAAGAGGTATATATAGTACAATTTGTGCAGTATCATCCTTTTTTTTTTTTTTTTTTTTTGAGACGGAGTCTCGCTCTGTTGCCCAAGCTGGAGTGCACTGGCCAGATCTCAGCTCACTGCAAGCTCCGCCTCCCGGGTTTACGCCATTCTCCAGCCTCAGCCTCCCGAGTAGCTGGGACTACAGGCGCCCGCCACCTGGCCCAGCTAGTTTTTTGTATTTTTTAGTAGAGACGGGGTTTCACCGTGTTAGCCAGGATGGTCTTCATCTCCTGACCTTGTGATCCGCCCGTCTCGGCCTCCCAAAGTGCTGGGATCACAGGCTTGAGCCACTGCGCCCGGCCAGTATCATCCTTTTTTAAAACAAAAGGCGCATACCATATGTACAAGTATACAAGAAAAAAATATGTGAAAATACACACCAAAATTTTAACAATGATTAGTCCGGGTAGAGAAATTATAAGTTTTTCCTTTGCATGTGTTTGTTTTTCTGTGTGTTTTCCCAAATTTTCTGCATTTAACACGTGTTGCTATGGTAACCAGAGCTAAAACCAGTAACATTTCCTTTTTAAAAGGATGGCATTACAGCATGACTGAGTAGCTTTAAAACTTGTAGAGCGTCTACATTTGTGGAGTCATCACAAGTTCAGGAACTCATTCTCAAATTTCAAGTTTAGAAACACAATTCGATTAGTTCACTAAAGACTAATCACATAGAAGGAATACATTCTAATGTTTGATAGCACAGTAGACTGACTATAGTTAACAATTATCTATTGTATTTTTCAAAATAGCTAGAAGATTTGAAAGGGACCCATCACATAGACATTATAAATACCCTGAGTTAATTATTACATCGCCTATGCATGTAACAAAATTGCACATGTAACGCATTAATATGTACAAACATATATATTCAAAAAATAATTTTTAAAAAGCTGAGGGGGAAAGAACAAATTTTAAAAAGCTGGAGGGGAAAGAACGAATTAAACTTTAACAGAAAGTTAATTACAAAGATAAGTAGAAATTATGAAATCAAAAGCCAACAATAGCAAAAATCAACAGGTTGTTCCTTTAAAAAGATTAATGAAACATACGTCACCTCTACTAGATTAATTAAGAAATGAGAGGAAGAAATGAACAACTTAACAGTATCAGTGTGAAAGAGGAAGCATCACCACAGATGCTACAAACATTAATGGATATTAACACATAACTTCATGTAATAAATTTGACAACTTAGATGAAATGGACAAATTACTTGAAAAACACAACCTATTAAAACTGACTCAAGAAGACAGAGAAAACCTGAAATTATTTAATCATGCTATTTACACAGCTACTTCAGAGGCTGCAAATCTTATAATGCGGGATTTCTTGGCTCCTTACCCCTCTCCTGTGGGATCTAGGAAATAAATGTTGCTATTGATTGCCAAAAAAGGGAAGGAAGAAAAAGGGCTGATCATTGTACAAAAATGATGACTAGCTCCCTGCCCTCAGCTCCCATTACTAATGTCTATAATTCTTATGTATCAGGGTAGACTCCCCTAAATGTAAGTACTTCATCAAACAATCTGACTTTTCTAGTTCTTGAAGCAGAACCTTTACTTTCCAAAAAATTCATGCTAGCAATGCAGTGAAGGACAGTATTGTGCTCTCCTGAGCACTGAGTTTTTTCATTACTGCTCGCCATTTGAACAGTTTAAAAATTATTCTTTATTTTTGTTGCAGTCTCACCAATGCACCTTAACGTAGCAGTTTCTCATTGTCTGAATTAGTACCCTGGGTTCTTCGCCCTTATGTCCAAGAAAATTAAGGAACATGGACACAAAGGTGGGGTTGCAGCAAAAGTTATTAGAGTGAAAGAAAGAAAAGCTCCTCTCCACATTGGAGAGGGCAGTCGGAGTGGACTACCAAGTTGTAGTAAAGACGTCAGGGTTTTTATAAACGGATTACTGAGGAGAGGGTGTCTTATTTTCCTAGGGCCTGAAGATTTAGTTGGGACCAGGTGTGCTACCCGCATAGAGCAGAGTTTCTATCAGCCTTTACCCAATTCCTTGATCACATAAGCAGGCTTTTAGTTTGTGTTGCTCTGTGCTTTGTGTCGCTTAAGCTTCTGTGTCTGTTCCCAGATATTTTTTTGCAGCTGCAGACCTCCCCCCCACCCTCCCTGCATAAGTTTCTAGCTTCCCTATCTTAGTGTGCCTAAAGGGAAAGGAATGTACTTATTAAGGCCCCCAGTTTTTACTGGGGCCCATTGTATGAGTATGAAGTCGAGAATCCCCCACTCCTTCTGTGCTTGTTTATCTGTGTTTAGAGCTGTCTATCTGTCCAGGTGCAACCTGAGGTTTTCCTAAGGTTGTTTTATTTTTTGCCTGTTGCTGTGACTTTTCAGGCAGGCTGCTTCTGCAGTCTGAATTTTTTCATGATTTTCCTTTCCGTCTCTCTCATTTTCATTTGCATTTAAGAAAATTTCCAGTAACTACAAGTTCACATGCTTTTTACTTACTCTAATTTTTTCTGTTATAACTTTTGGAGAGAGCAGAGTCCTTCTGTGAGAGGAAGAAGCAGGGACCTGGAAAAGGAGCTTTGTTGTAGGAGTCAGGAATCAGGGTTCTACTGTAACAGCTTTCTAAGTGGCCTTCCACTTCCACATTTGGTTCCCTCTAATCCATTTTCCACGCAGCAACCAGAATGATTATTTTAAAATTTTAAGGCCAGGCACTGTGGTTCATGCCTGTAATGCCAGCACTTCGGGACGCTGAGGAGGGCGGATCACTCAAGGTCAGGAGTTACAGACCAGCCTGGTCAAAATGGTGAAAGCCCGTCTCTACTAAAAATACAAAAATTAGCCAGACGTGGTGGCATGCGCCTGTAATCCCAACTATTCAGGAGGTTGAGGCAGGTGAATCGCTTGAACCAGGGAGGCAGTGGTTGCAGTGAGCTGAGGTGGCACTACTGCACTCCAGCCTGGGAAACTGGGTGAGACTGTCTCAAAAAAAAAAACAAATAAAAAAATAAAAAATAAAAGTTTTAATCAGATCATGGCCCTCTCCTGCTTAAAACTATGCAATGGCTTTCCACTGCTTTAAAAATAAAATTCGGGCTTTTCCACGATGGACAAGGTTCTGCTATGCAACCTTGTTCACTGCTCTGCAGCCACACGGGCCTTCCCACCTCAGAGCTTTCGTCCTTACTGGAATGTTCCAGCAAAATTCTTTTGCCTGGGGTGCTCTTTTCTCAGATGCCACAGTTTCCTCTTGTCCTTCAGGGTTTATCTTAAACATCACCACCTCTAAGAGACCTTCCGTACCTCCCACCCATCAGGTTCATTTTGTTTTCTTCCTAACACCTGTCACAGTCTGAAATTATCCTAATCATTTGTTGTGTCAACCTTAAGTAGTGAAATTTATAAAATAACATTAAGTAGAGTTTATTCTAACGCAAAGCTTGAGGACAGCCACCTGGAAACACCAACTCCAAACAAATAAGGTCAATGTTCCAAAGTGAAGTTAAGGTTTCATTTACGTAGGCAGAAGCAGAGAAGGTTCAGCAGGAGTACATTTTCAATACAAGACCAAAGCATAAAACACAGCGACTAGATTAGTTATAGATATCTCCATTCCAAGGAGGATAACTATATTAATCTATGAAGAGGGATAGTGATCTGAGGGGGTCTTACCTCTGTCTCTGTTTGGTCTTCCTGATTATTTACAGGAAAAAACAAGGCAGACATTGCAGCTGTACGCCATAGGACTCAGGCCCCGTAGCCACATTCTTCGCAAGGCTCTGAATAATTTCAAGTTCCAACAGCTTTAAGTCGGAATTTTTTAATTTCAGTTGATTCACTTGTTCTTTTCCTGTCTCCCACAACAGAAAATAAGTTCCCAGGGATGCAACCTTGGCAGGCTTCTAAACTGCCACGGCTCCAGTTTCTTGTAGGTTAGACATTATTAGTTGAAGGAAAGATCTAGGCAGGCCTCGGTGCGCCGCCTCCTCTTTAATGCGAGGGCTTACTAGATGAATGTGAGCAGACGGAAGCAGAACCACCCTGTTAATGAAGGCTGCGCATTCTAGCTCAGGGATTTCTAGAAACTTCGGGGGCGGAAGTTTAACCAGAGAATTAGGAGGCAAGGAGCAGAGAAGCAATGAGGATAACCTGTGCAGTGTAGTCGTTCCACGAGTTTGAGAACGCCTAGCACGATGCCTTCACGGAGCGTCGGGCAGAGTTATTTGAGAGTATTTCTTTTTCGGGGTTTTTGAGACAGGGACCTGATTTGAAGCAACGGGGAAGAAAACCAAGAGGACGAAGAGCCAAGGATGGGCGTGCCCGGGAGCTCTCAGGCGGGCACCTGGAAGGGGTGGGAGCAAGCAGGGCCTAACGTACCCCTGGCCTTGGCGGCCCTGGACGCCCCTGGTGCCCCCCACAGCTGCCTCCCACCACACATGACTGAGGCTCGGGAAGCAATAAAGTGGCTTTCAAAATACTAAATGCAATTGACATCTTTTCCTGAGTGGAAAAAAAAAAAAAAGGATCTGAATGCTGAAATATACAGAGAAGAAACTCCCGTTGCCACGTCCCCCGAGGTCCCCACTCAGTCCCGTCTGCTGCTCCGCCCTTAGTCGGGCCCTAGTTCTGCGAGGCGGAGAGCAGGAGGCGCTGGGTGGGCCCGCTGACGCTCCGGATCTGAACTGCGCAGGCGCGGCGCGAGATCGCGGGAGCGAGCGCGCGGGAGCAGTTCGCGGCAGTTCGCGCGGGAGCCGGGCGCTGGGGCGCTTGGGCGCCTGGGCTGCCGGACGGTGGGAACGGAAGTCGCTGTGGGGCGCTGAGAAAGCCAGGATGGCGACTCCAAGCAAGAAGACGTCAACTCCAAGCCCCCAGGCTTCCAAGAGAGCTCTCCCGAGAGACCCTTCGTCGGAGGTCCCGAGCAAGAGGAAGAATCCGGCCCCGCAGCTGCCGCTGGTGCAGTCGTCCGGGCCTTTCGTGGAGGGCTCTATCGTCCGTATCTCGATGGAGAACTTCCTGTGAGTGGCCGGGAGGCCGCGCCGCGGGTGTGGAGGCGTGCGGTCCAGCAGGCCCCGGGGCGCCGGCTGCGCGCGGGCGTGGGCGTGTGGGTGTGTACTTGGCTTGTGGGTCTGGCCTTGAATTCGTGCCGGGGTTCCCATGAGGATTTTTCTACGAAGGCTGTGGAGATTGACGTGTATGATGTAGATGTGTGCCTTACGTGATGTGGTTTTTAAATTTAGTCCGCCAAGGTTTTCCAAAAGCGTCTTGTAGCAGGTAGTAGTTGTACGAGGGAGTAGGTCTCTGCCCGCTGGGAGTCGCGATCCATAGCGGCCCTGGTCTGTAATTCACAGAAGTATTGTCCCCGGGAATTTACGAGGAGGCAACAGTTAATTCGGCGTGGTGGGGATGCTGTGGCAGATTCTTAGGGTAGGCATTTGCCACAGAGGAGTAGATAAGACGGTAAAGGTTGTTTGGGATGGGAGGTTACAAGTACAAAAAAATTAAACCTTCCTGGCAATTGTTGGATCTTGACCCTTGACCCCTTGACCCCTCTAAACCCAGCTTTCTTCCCTGGTTCCTCCCTCTCTCCTTCAGACAACTAGTTATCACTTTAGAATTTAGTAAGTTTTAAATATATCATGTATTTGCCTAGCACCTCACAGTGAATCTGTTCCAAGTCGTCTTTTTTTTTTTTTTGAGACGGAGTTTCGCTCTTGTCGCCCACGGTGGATGGAGTGCTGTGGCGCTACCTCGGCCCGCTGCAACTTCTGCCTCTCGGTTTCAGGCTCCTGGGTCAGCCTCCCGAGTAGCTGGGACTGTAGGTGCGCGCCACCACGCCCGGCTAATTTTTGTTTTTGAGACGGAATCTCATACTGTCATCCGGGCTGGAGGATAGTGGCGCAATCTCGGCCCACTGCAACCTCCGCCTCCCAGTTTCAAGCGATTCTCCTGCCTCACCGAGTAGCTGGGATTACAGGCACCCCCCACCACGCCCAGCAATTTTTTTGTTGTTGTTGTTGTATTTTTAGTAGACACGGGGTTTCACCATGCTGACCAGGCTGATCTGGAACTTTTGACTTCAGGGGATCTGCACGCCCCCATGGTGCTGGGATTATAGGCGTGAGCCACCGTGTCCGGCCTGAAGTCTTTTTTAAACTTGCACATAGTGGCATAAGGATAACAGAATTGTATTTTAACAATACTACCTTTTTTGTTTTCAGGCACCTGTTGTGTGCCAGGTACACAGTGCACTCATTCTTTCTTCATAACAACTCTATCTTGATAATTTCCATTGCTGAAAGAAGCTCAGTAGGTTGTTTTGCCCAGTTTTACACAGCTGTTAAGTAGTTGCATTGCTATTTGAATCCAGATCAGGAAAGATAAATGTAATCAAATGAGTTAGATACCATAACAACATATATGTCAGGATCCTTCACAAAGGATGAAGTGGTTAGTTTTGTCCACGAGTATGAGAAAGGGCTTTGTAGAGAAGATATGAAAGTCTTTGTTCTTGCTCTGTTGCCCACGCTGGAGCTCAGTGGCATGATCAGGGCTCAGTGAAGCCTGTACCTCCCCTTCTCAAGTGATCCTCCTACCTCAGCCTTTCAGGTAGCTGGGACTATAGGCGCATACCATACCTGGCTAATGTTTTAAAAATTTTTTGTAGAGATGGGGTGTCACCATGTTGCCCAGGCAAGTCTCGAACTTCTGGGCTCAAGCAACTCACCTCGGCCTCCCAAAGTGCTGGGATTACAGGCGTGAGCCACTGCACCCGCCTAAGAAGATAGGAAAGTCTTAAAAGAAGTGAAGAGCATTGAAGACAGAAGGAACTGTCTGAAATAGTTTGGTATATTTAGAAAGTGTCAAGTGTTTTAGTAAGGCAAGAGGATAGGATGTGAGTGAGTATTTGGACAGGGTAAGCAACCATTGAGAGACCTGTATGTTTACTATGCTAAGAAGTTCCAGCAGCATCCTGTAGGCAGCCACGGTGTGTTTTCAACAGGGAATGACATGTGTTTTATGTTATTCTGGAAGCACTGTGGAGGATGATTTAGAAAGGGTGCAAGATTGGAAGCAAAAAGACAATACGAAGGCAAGAGATGATCAGAGTGTGAAGGAATGAGATTTGGCAGGATCCAGCTACAGAATAATTGAGGCATGGGGGAAAGGGAGGAATGCAGCATTTTTCCCAGGTGTTTGCCTTAGCTAATTGGTCAGATGCTATTCAGAAGAGAGAGCAGTTTGAGGAGAATAATAAATGCCTCTTAGATCCTGTGATTTGAAGTTTCCTTTGGAGTATCTAAGAGAGATGTTCTATAGGCAGAATATAAGAGTCTGGAGCTTAGAGGAAAGTATGAACGGATGAGAGATTTGGGAGTCATGCATACAGGTGATTGATGAAGTTGCAGAACTGGTTATGATTGCTCAATAGGAATTATAAATTGAAGGACTAGAAGACCATGTACAGGGTCTTGGGAGAATGCCTGCTTTTAAGGGTGAAACGAGGAAGGACTCAAAGCCAGAAGGAACTATTCAGGGAGGTAAGATGAAAACAATGGGAGGCAATTATCAGAGAAGCCAAGGAAAAACAATGTTTCAAAAATATCACCTGCTACATTGAAGTCAGATAGCGGGGTTGAAAAGAGCCCACTGTATTTAGCAATTGAGGAATCTTTGACCTTTTAATGAAGCAGTGGAAGCAGAAAACTTTGCAGGCCATAGAAGAATGAATGAGGGTGAGAAAGTAAAACTTGGATGTAAAGAGAAGAAAGAAAAAGTAGCTGGAAGTGCAGAGGTTGGTGAGATATTATTGTTTATTTTAATGAGGGGCCTTTGAGTTTTAGGCAAGAGGTAGAGAAAGGTGGGCTTGGAGAATTAGCAAGGAAATAAGAGGGGTAGTCAGATAATTTAAATGGCCTGGAAGAGAGTAGGGAGTGAACCAAGTCAAATGGAGTTGGGAGTGGAGGGAGAGACTTGGAGGCTGAAGGAATAACACACGCAAAGACTTAAGAGAAATAAGGAATTACAGTCACAAAACTGAAAGAAGTACATTATAGGTAGAATTTAGAGGTCTGAGTAGAAAATAGGGAAGGGAGATAAAAAGTAGAAAAAGATGAAACTCAGCTATGATAGGTCCTCCTTTTTCTTTAATTTTTCTTTTTTAACAAGTGACATCAGATTTACAGTTCTACCAGCATTACTTAGTGATTGATTGGATGATGGAGTGGTGGTTTGGGTGGAGTCAAAAGCAATAAAAGAACCAAAGATGATGCAAAACTAATGCCGAGGTTTCTGATTTGGGCAATGGTGTCAATGATAATACCATTCACTAAGAGACCGCAAGAGTGATTTTGGATGGGAAAGATGGTGGGTTTAGTTTTAAATGTGTTAAGTTTAAGTTGACTGTTGTGGGACATTCAAATAGCGTTATTGAGGTGATCATTGCACATAGAGGTCATCTGGACTACTTTCAGCATGTAGATAGTATTCAAAGACTTGTAGAAAGAGGGAATCATTGAGGCCATAGAGAATACATGAGATACCTTGTGAAGTATATGGAATGATAAGAAGGTGGGTCTTTACCAATAGCTCTTTCAGAGGGAGCTCAGAGGAAAGGAAGCTCATAATAAGGGAATTCCCCATAAATACATCATAGAGTCAGAAGAACGATTTTAAACAGTGCAGAGGCTTGATTTGGGTAGTTGAAGGCAAGAAAAATCCCCCCGCCCAACCCCGCCGAAAAAAAAAAAATACAGGAGCTTTGTTTTTGGCTACTCTCCCTATTTATAATATTGATGCATATCTTATAGGCCAGAACTTCTCATGCTTTTTCCTGTTCAGTTTTCTTAAATACCAGTTACATCATTGTTTTAGTATAGCATTCACACAGAGATTTCACAACAGGAAATCCAAGTGTTAAAAGAATGGGACTTCATGTGTTGAGAGTAAGAAGTTCTATGTCAGATAATTTTCTACATTTCTGAAGTTCCCAAACTGGTTTTATTGTAACCATTATAAAGAGCTCTTTTGGGACCCAGGTGCTAGCAGAACAAAATGGCTAAAAAGATATAGCACATGCTGTGTAGAGGTATGGGATTAGCAAACCTGCCAGAAAATACTTCTTTTCAACCTGTATTTTGATTACCACCTGACATTTCAAAATCATTATTTTCTTAAAATATTAATGTGCGCTTGGTTATTTATATACTTAGCAGGTGAATAGCAGGCTAAGCATTTATTCATGAGGAATTAGTTGGCAGCTTCCTGAGAGCTAACTGAAATGCTGTGGACAAAGGACACTTTTTATGGGTTCAAATTAAGAGTATTCAAAGGCGAGTTAAAAGAATGTCTGAGTCAGAGTTTGTTTCACATTTTGTCATAATTGTCACTAGTCACTAATAAAGATTAGATGCTAACTGTGATTAGAATACTAGACAACTTTCAACTTTTGTTTGTTTTGTAGGTTGGTGTGTCTCTGTGATACCTAGGCTGGCCTTGACCTCCTAGGCTCAACTGGTCCTCTGGCCTCAGCCTCCCTCATAGCTGGGACTATAGGCACATACCATGGTGCCTGGCTTGGAAAATAATTTTTAAAAGTTAATAAAATGGAACCTTTGGGTTGAGATATATCTTCAGTTTTGTAATTAAAAATTTGCTTAGATTGTTTGAAATATTAAAATATGAATAACCATTAAGCATTA